TTTAGGTTGATTAAGACTAGATCAGACAACCTCGGTTACATCTACCTTTGATTACGTTGGATTATCTGAACACAATGGAATTGAATACAATCGATAATTGAAATATAGAGAGAATTGGCAATCAAATTTATTACAAATACATTATGAATCATTTTTTATATAACAAGAATATCATTAAAAAAAAATAAACTTTAACGCATGTATTACAAATTATTCTAAATTAAAATTAAAAAAACATTTAATTTTTTTCTTCCCTCCCTTTAAAATTGAGATATCTCAATTTTCTTACAAAGTGGAAAAATATAATATCATAAATCAACAAAATTCCTCATGAATAACGTAAAAATTTTATCATATAATCCATTTCTCTTTTTTCAAGATCCCCTATCACAAATTAAAATAATATTTAATTTTACTTTCTCGACGTTACCCCAATTCCTTTCGAAAATAAAGAAAACGACAGTATTCTCTGGAAGACATAACGTAAAAAACTTTTATCCAACTCATTCATAAAAGTTTCATAAAACTGCTGTCAAACAGAGTTCGACGTAAACGAACCAAACGCAGGATTAAAGGTCACAAGTTATCATGATGTCTTAAAGTAGATCGAAAGAAGACACGATACTTCAGGCTTGTTGAAAATTGTTGCTATCATCGGTTAAAGAATAATATCCATGGAACGTGTTCTTTATTAGCACCACTTGGGATCGAGGGTTGAAATTTTTCGCGGTTGGACCGGAATAGACTTTGTGAGACCTTACGGATATGAATTTCATATTTTACGATAATACCGCGGGATGTTCTTAAAGTAAACGAATCTTGGCCTGCCGCAGTTTTCACGTAGTCGAAGAAAAATCGTACTTACTCCCGGATTCCGTGAAACGACTTTTATATCGATTTCTATCTGAACCTCTGCCCCGTTCATCTCGTCATAAATATCGAAGATTGAAAAACCGGCAGTCCCAATCGTAACTCGATCCTTCATTCCTTTGTCACTCGAGAATTGATTCTCGATATTAATTTTCGCTGAAAATGTCGCTGAAAATCTAAATTAACTGAAAAACGTGTTGAATTACAAACTTGCTGCATGAGCTATTTCAATCATTCTTAATTAGAATTAGCATTGGAATTCTTTTTTTTTTGCAAAATAATTAACTTTTCAAAAACTTGAAAAAATTCGTCTTAGAACGTGTTCCTAATTGAGATTAGAATAAAAATTTTCAGAAAATGGATTCCTTTTACTTTTCTCTTACTCAAATTCTTAATTATTTTTCTATAAGTATACATAACTATATTTTAAATTTCTCCCATTAAATAGAAATCAAAATTCATATGCTACGAATATCATATCAAAAAAATATATATATATTTCTTAATTGTACTTTACTCTGATGCGTATGATCAAATAATTCAGAACACACGATGAAAACGCGTCGAAACGTAGATTAGTTCATTAAGGCCCGATGCACACGAGCTCTTACCGCGTAGAATAAGATCTTCTTTCTTTGTTTCTCTAATCAAGAGCGACGAAGACAGACAGTACAATACATTGGGGGGAGCGAGAAGTGTGCGCCAGCTCCAAAACGCAGCGGACGTTAAACTGGCCTGGCTAGGACAAAGTTCATTTCATATCCCTCCCGTTTGGAACTGTTTGATCTCGTTTACCCTCCAACCCTCTTTCACGAAATTCGTTTATATCGGAAAATGTGAAATCATGTTTGCAGCGTTGGTGCGCAAAACGGGGTGCGGCTGGATGGGTATGTATAATGCGATCAAGTTAGAGGAAACCATTCATACAGGGAAGACGATAACATAACTGAAATTCGATTACTTCGTTCTATCGTTACGGCGAATCACCGGTTTATCACCGAGCAAGAGGTGAGAGGGTTAAACGGTTATTTCCCTCGCCACGCTTCGCCCGTAATCGGTTCTAGTTTCAGCTGTCGCTCGTTGGATAGATGAAGTTAAAGGATCGTGTTATAATTGGCGATGTTCACGCGCCGTGGATTCCCTCGATTGTAAAACTGAATGCGATAATGGCCGGTCTAAACATCCCCGCTTATTGGCCGCGAGCTCGTTGAAGTAACGTGTACATCACAAGATACAATTAACGGAGGGTAAAACGAGTTGTACTAATGTTACGCCATTTTCTTTCTCACGATTAATCAGAGGTAATTCTCATTTTCTTGGTGTTATCGTTGGTGGCAATATCTCTAAGGGAAATTTTAATAAAGTTATAATCGTGTTGTTATATGGATATATGTTTGATTGAAAGTATTCTTCTTGCCTTCCTTTTCTTTCTTTTGTATTTATTTAAAAATTAAGAAGTTAAATTATGATATTGATTTGTGTTTTTTGGGGGGAGGAATATTTTTATGTTATTAATATCGAGTAATATTGATTATACACATCATATTTTGATTGTATTTTTTCTTTTTTCTTTGATGTAATAACAGTGTAGAGTAATTATTTTGATTTTTACTCGATTGAGAATATTTTTCTAGTTCTTATTTTTTTTCGCTTCGTTAACTTGTTAAAATATTTAGTAATAAGTTTATATTTCAACTTTTCTAACGTTATGACAGTTTTAATATCTTTCCAATACTTTACTTTACTTCATTCAATTTTATTATTAAAAATATTCGTTTCGTTAATTTGTGGAATATTGTCACCATGAATTTTACATTTTCAAATATATACGAATAACTCTTGATTAACTCGTGATACTATAAGAATATTATTTTTATTAGTATTATTTCACCATCTGAAAATTCTCAATTATTGGTACTTTGAAAACACGATTTTCCCGAATATTTAACTGCCACGGTTATTCACGTTGCTTGGCGACGTGTTTCCATTGATCAATGTTGAATGTTTTATTCAACATGATTTCGATGTAACGATGGTACGGGCGTCCATTTTATACGAATGTTGCCTGTAGTTTATCGAGACATATAAATCAATAAACCAAAACTAGTACCTTGTTTACAAAACTATTTATCTCCCTCGTTTCTCTTGTGAAGTTTACGAAATATCATAACATAACTTAACATAAGTCAAATACAGCAAAACTTTTCTAATATTTTCGAACATTTTATTAAAGTAAAATAATTTTCAAATTATTCCATTGTTGTAACAATCTCAAAATCTCAATAGTTTCTATTATTTTTGATCGAGAAACGTACGCGATTCTATCGCGAATTCCATGTTCAATTTACAGTTTCATTATCACGTATAGATCCGTTATATGTATCGTTACGATTTCCTCGACCAATTTCTGTTATTCTTCTTCTTGCTGGAACTTATATCGTTGATATTTTGTAACTATACCACGACCTACTTTGTACCATTATTCGGATTGTTTCCAAAGATTTGTCGACAGCGATCGAAAATCCAATATACTTAATGGAAAGTCGAACGCACGCGGTTGAACTACGAAAGATCTCGTTTATTTCAAATCAATCGATTCGAGGATTTTAATGGTCGTTTTTCTTTCGCGTCCCAGAAAATCATTTCAACTATGANCAATATACTTAATGGAAAGTCGAACGCACGCGGTTGAACTACGAAAGATCTCGTTTATTTCAAATCAATCGATTCGAGGATTTTAATGGTCGTTTTTCTTTCGCGAAAATCATTCAACTATGATAAAATTTACAATAATAATAGACAAATATATATAATTGTATACTTCGTATATTTAAAAGAAAGATATTGTACATTTTATATTGAAAATGAATGTAAAAAATCTTAAGTTTGTAAGATATACGGTAAAAAATTTAATGAAATAAAAAGTAAACATAAATTGACTTGAATAAAATTGAGTTACATTGATCAAATAATATATATATACAGAAGTGAAGAAGAAAAAGATCATTTCTTATCAATGTATTTATCCAAAGAAAAAAAAAAGTAAAATAATAAATTATAAAGAACTATAAGAATAGTGAATCACTTAAAATATTACAAATATACTATATTTTTTCTTAATTATTATTATAGAACATAATTCGTTTAATCCACAAAGAGATTCTTTGTTGTAAAATTAAGTTGTCTGCAAAATGGCGCTGCGAATGAGATTAATTCCATTCATGGCCACCATCGATGGTGGCACTACTGAGATATGTATTTCATTTTGTATATACAGTGAGAGGTGAGAAAATAGCTGCACAATTTTGCTCCATAATTATCATTTGGTGATGCAAATTGTATTGATATTTCTTGAATTATTAAGAATATTGATATTCGTAGATTTTAATATTAATTTCGGATTGCATTATATTCTTTCGTAATATATCAACCGCTATTTAAATAATCGAATTATAAGTCTGCACGCGCGTGACTTTGAACAATCGAGTTTAATTCCATCTTGAATATTCGCATCGTTTGATTCACGCGATCTTTATTAATGGCTCGTAATTTATCTCTCTTAAATTATTTTTTCCCCCTTTTTCTTGAAAATCGTCATAAATCGATTATTTATTTCATTCCAGACAGAAATATCGGAGGAAATGAGAAATGTCATTTATTATATAAATTCAATCTCGATTCATAAAGACACGTTGTTTTTAAACTGCTTTAAATTTTCCATTTTCGTTACTTCCAATGCAATGCAATACAATAGCACTGAAAAAGATAATTATAAATTGCAATAATTAAAAATAAGAGCATCAGTATCATTAAAATATTATCGAACAAAAGTTCATCCACGTTTAAAGAGAAATAACGTGAGGATAAACTTTCAAACAGCAATGAATAATCAAAATTTTTCCGCTCAAACGCTTCTCTACACTCTCGCGTTCATGAAACCGTATAAATTAAGAGATATAACATCATAAAACTAACTGCTTAATCTGTTCCTAGTTGCTTCTTATGAATATCGAATACGTAAGCGGAATATCCGGATAATGTTGTTCGTATCGTTGGAAACGAGGCACGAACAATCGAGCCTCTGACAATGAGTGGAAGAGATACACACCCATGGAATTATTATGTTTCAGCTCTGCCCAAAGTGAAGCCTGTTATCGTATCGGAACGTGAACGTTACGACGCCGGAGACACTTTGAAGGCAAATTGTAGCTTACCACCCTCGAAGCCACCGGCTCATCTCTCATTCACCCTGAACAACGTGGCGGTAAGTGATACCTATAATCCACGCGTCATTATCGAATCCGCAGTTAAGGGGAAACCCGTGAAATTAATGGTTTAAGAGCGATATATACGATATATACGACGTCTAACGTTATTGATTCGAATACGCACAGTGTATTGTTTTCAATGGAATGTAGCTGGGGAAAGGAAGTTATTCATATTTCACTTGATTCGGGATAATGATGATTCGAAAGAATCGATCGAATGTTCGAATTTAACTTTGAGATAAAGATATTTACATTTTCCAAGGTAAATTTTATTTAACTTGATGTATTTATTTTTGATCTTTATGAAAGACATTTTACACTTTCCATTTTAATATGAGGTTAACATTCCTTGTAGAAGAATTTGATAATTAAGTAAAATGAGTTAATCCATAATATAAATGATTCGTAAAAGATTTTCCACAATCTTGTAATTAATCGTGATTATACGAAAACTTTTTTTTTTATTTGAAATTTGAAATCAAATTACAAGGATCTCTTTCAATGTAATAATTTATTAACTAATCACATTAATAATTTTTAACGTTAGGTTTCTATTTTTAAATTATACGAATAAAAGAAGAAATAGAATTAATTAATCAACTAATCATTTTATTTAGTCAAACACGATAATTATGAAGAATGTATTATTAATATTAATTCATTTCTATAAAATATCCAGACAGTTCAATATTAATAAAATAATATTAGTTCAAAGGGACAAATCCCTGTCAAAATTTCACTATTAATATTAATTTAAAATCACACACTGTTCAATCAATCAACGCGCGAAAATTCGCAGTTATCTCGTAGCTATCATATTTCAAAATTGTGGCATTAAAGCATCCAGAGAAATCGATATCAAGAATTACGACAGTACGACCTAAAGCGATCTCGAAAATTCACGAAGTAAAATCTCGCAGCGCCATCCAGCTTTCTCTACCCCCTCCCTCCCTCCTCGGTCCAAGAGAGAACTTTTTCCTTAAACGCTTTTCCGTGTCATCGAAAATAATTTTCAACGGTGACGTCGGATACTTTTCTACTATGTATACGTATATATGTATATGTATATATATACAATATATACACAACTAAAATAATTGCACGATACAGTAGCGAAACGTAGAAGTTATCACAGTATGAAAGTTTGAGGGGCCGGTCTATAAAAGTTAAGGAGGTTAAGCAAAGAAGAGGAACTTTTCCTCTTGAAAGATCTTCCTCGGACGTACAACCTGGATAGGTGTACGTGTCTGTGTGTACATTAGCCCGGTATCTTCGTTCGCAAAGGATTTGTTTCTCGTAATTTTTAAATTCCGTCCCCCTTCTTCTGAATGATTACCCGCAGAAAGAATTTTCATTTCGTCCTTCTCTCGATACAGTTCAACCCTCCTCCCTCTTTCTTTCTTTCTTTCTCTACTTTCTTTTCTTTTCTTTTTTCTTTTTTTTATCCGAAGAAAGAAACCTTTCGCAATCAATTAATTCGAAAACAGAGAATTGAGTTACGAAGTTGGGGAGAAAAAAAGAAGAAAGAGAGAGAGAGAGAGAGAGAAAAAATATTATCGACCAACTTTTATCAAAATGGAAGTCGGGAGTTGTAGCCGTTGGCAATGTATTACCCGTAATCCCCGAGGATGACGACGCAGGATCTCATTATCCGATATGGCTAAATACGTATACCTAGAAAATGGAATGCTCCCTGTATTCGGCTCGTAAGAAAACCGACGAATATATTGTTTAATTAAGTTCGAAATTTTACGAAAGTTTATTCGACTCGAGAGGGCTCGATACGTTTTTAGTGAAAAATACTTATTGGTCTTGGCATGTTTTCAACGCATTATTAAGTCGAATGTAGGACAATCGAGTTCCGATAGAGGGAACAAGTTTTGAAGGGAAAATTTACACACGAATGTAATTTTCATCGTATCCTAGTTTTGAACTATGCTTGTGTAATGATATTGTACAATGGTGATTTTAATTATTCATATTTTATTGAGGATTTTCGAGAAGTGTCTCTCGAGTAGCACGTGCGCAAGAAGAATTGTTATCCTTTTGTTTATCATTTCGAACTTTTTTTCAATAATTTTTTCTTTTCTGAATTCTGGAAAGAATATACCGGATGTTTCGCATAATTTTATACTCGCAATAGAAATTTCGTTTCCTCGTAATATTAAAAAAAATTTTTCTCGAATAAAAGTTGAATAGAATCTGTATTCTCGTATTAATAATTTTTTCGTGGACGTGTATAGAATTCGTGAAATTGAATTTTGTTTTTTTAAATAGAATTATATTTTTAATACATGAATTGCTATGTGTCTCATTATTCTCTATAAAAAAAGTATATATAATAAAGTTTACAAAAGTCAATAAATTATTAATGTAAAAAGTAATTAAATATAATTTAATACATATAAACTAATAGTTTTCATAAAAGAATAATAATGCTGCATCTACTTGCATATTCGCATTAGAAAATATAATTTAATTTCAAAAAATAAAGTTGATCTTTATATGCGTCATTTACGCGTCCATCTATGGTATGAAAATAATAATTTACATCATATTACGTGTCCTTCAATTTTCATCTGAAATATTTTTTAATAATTCAAAAAAACAAGCAAGATATTCCAGGTGATAAAATTACGTGAAATATCCAGAATATGACACGTCTCATGCAAACGTCACGTAAATCTAATCGCTTAATTAACTCCAATTATCTAACTTGTTTAACCTAGATATATTCAGCGGAACTGAAATTTGAGGTTATGAAATGGATGAACAGCTATAATTAACATATTTTCTTTTCTATCAACAATAATTCTTCGAATATTCGTTAATAATATTTGTTCTTTTTGTATCATCAACTTTCTTTTATTTTCAATTATCATTACTAGTATCCAAATTCACGTAATTTCTTTTACAATACTTTTTTCAAATATTTATTATACAATTCTCTTTTTTATTTTTAAAAAGCTATGACATATAAGCTCACGTAATATTTAAAAAAGAAAGAGAAAATATATACTTTAATATAAAGCAGTATATCTATGTATAAAAAAAAAATTAGAAGCTAAATAATTTTTTAATTTACGTTGCAAAAAGTCGCAGCGTAGTCTTTCGTTTTGTCAAATTCCATTACGGGTGAATTTTGCGGTATATAATACGGTATATAGAGGTAGATGCTATTTTCTCGAACACGCGCCACCGTAAAAAGAGCCGGTGGAATGTACGGTTATGAAGAAAGTCGGGGCCAGGTTCTTCACACGATGAGACTGAAAGAAAATTAGTAGTACGCGTGCACACGCTTGCAAAGAAACCTTGGCTTATAAGGAATTGCGAAATTGGAGGGCGAGAAGATTGGTTTTGCTCATTTCTTCCGGTTAACATCACCCTCGTAGAATCCGACGAATTTAGAGAGGGAATGTAAACTGGCAAGAAATAAGTCATTCCGGAAACAGCATTCGTTACAAGATGGAGTTATAAGTGAAACACATTTGCATATTTGCAAAGACAATGGAATGGTTTATTTATTCCATTTTAGATCCTTGATTTTGATCTATCATTGATCATTTTATTTCACAAATTTAAAGCACTTATAATAACTTATAATGAATTATTCTTATTTCTTGTATATATTTTTTTAAATTGTATATTTGAATGTATATAAGGAATACATGCAATAATTTTGGAACCATTTTTAGTTGCTATCATGTTATATGATTACAAGTGAAGGAAGCAATAATTTAATAAAGATTGGAATTTAATTTTAATGTTTGCAACATCTTCAAGTAATTTTGATCTTTACACTACTTGTACATTAATATTTTACATGATAAATTTTATTGATAATCATTGTTATATAAGATAAACAATCATAAGTGATAACAACAATTAGATTTTAAAATAATTATTTCAAATCAATTATTTAATTTTAATATACATTCCATGTATATCATATTAATCTCACGATGGATACCTCTTTGGTGAAACCAACTTACACGATGACTAAAACAATTAACAATATTTGTCTTTTGCATGCTGGTAGATAGGGGAGCGTACAACGGGTAGATATACAAACTGTCTACATTGTTAGAATTCAACACAAACAAAATTATACTGGAAACTTTGTCATCTCGTATCAGTTGGTCATTAAATTTTTAACAATATTGTACGGTGACGAATGAAACGTTTTGTTTAAAAAGTGGTTTATTAATTAATTAAATGGTTTAGATTATCGCAGAGAAAATATGTAAAGCGAAAAAGTACATGGAATCTGATGGGTTGCAATTAATGTCATATATGTTCTCTGGTGGCATTCACCGTTCTCTATTGTAAGGAGAAAAAATAGGCCGATCGGATTGCTGGTTCGAGATTCGAAGCCAGATCTTTCATTTACCGAATGCTGCTATCAATTGAGCAATCCAGGCCACCGATAGATCTTTTCTTGAGCCTAATATTCGAACAGTGGCTGTCGTCGATAGATAAAGAAGAAGGATAGTAGGTAGTTAATAATATTTTTCACTCGAGCTTAATTAGAAAAAAAATTGTCACTCTTGACGAGTCAATTATTTTAATCAATTTGATATTGTGATTCCAAACAAGTAGAATATTTCAAATATTATATATCATAAAAGAAAAAGAAATTGTGAATTTGATATTATTGGATTATGATTAAGAGTTTCAATTAAATTATGTTTATTGCTTTATTGTACATGATGAAAATGATCTTGCTTTTATTTAATTCTTCAAATCAAATTTCTTCAAATTGTATCATAATTAACTCGTAATATTAGTATCCTTTACAAAAAGTTATGGCTTACGAGCAACTACCTTAGTATTAACTGTCAAAGGGTAAAGTTTAAGTTAATTGCAACAGAAAGCGGATCCCAGGAGTGTATGATGAAGTACAAGATCCTCTTTGAATTGTGCACTCTGGAGGATCGTGTAGGTTCTACTTTTTAAAGAGTTTTAAAGTACTGGCGCATCAGCTTTTGCTGAGAAT